GGACATCTGTGAGAGCGGTTTCCTGGGGAGGACCTGGATCTCATGTGACCCCAGTGACGTCCCAGCCTGTTTGTCATCCACTCTCTGCTCTTGTAAATCCTTCGGGAGAACCTAGACCTAGAACCCAGGTCTGTCAGGCTCAGGAAAGCCATGACTTTTATGGCTAACACACTTCACCACATAGTCCCTCCCAGCTCTGAGAAGTCCATAAACCTTGCTTGTTCTTACCCCAGGCAGCAGCTGCTCTTTAGGATGTAAATACTTAACTGGGAGAGAGCAGCCTAGAGCTGCTAGGAATCGGATTTTGACCAACTGGGAGACACTAGTGTTTTTACGCAGATAACACACACGTTATATGTGTTTCTTTTGGCAACCACACCCTCCTTCCAGAAGTATTTTCATAAGCTCTGTGCTATTTCTTTTACATGTTGCTGTAGAAAAAATTAGCATAGTGTGGTTATAAAAATACCTGTGGGATGGAGGAGGGTACAGCTGGCAAAAAATGTATAACATACGTTATTTGAGTAAAAATATGGAAATCTCATTTTTTCGGTATCCAAAGAGGAAGGCACGATTATTATTACAATTTTCAGATTGGAAGCTGAGACCCAAGAGGCAAATTGGACTTGCCCCAAATCAAACAGCCTGTGGACAATCAAGCTGGGACTCAGACCTATGTTTTGATCACTCCAGGGTCTATGCTCCTGCTGGTAACACACACACACACACACACACACGCACACAGCTCTGCCTCTTACTCAGTTCATTTCCCTGCATGCATATGAGGGACTATGACAGTGACCCAGACTCCTGACCAGTTTGCTAAGAAGATTTCTATTGGTTGGGAGCAGCATCCCTAGCAAAGTCAGTTATTCCTGGTTCCTGGAAGTTTGCAGCTATACTGACTAAGTTCATGGTTCTCAGTCATGGATGCGTGTTCTTAGAATTACCTAGAGAGCAGGTGAAAAATCCTAGCGCTTGGCCCCAGCCTAGAGATTTTGATTGAATTGGTCTTGAGTGGGGCTGAGACATGGGCATTTTTCAAAGCCTCTAGAAGGTTTTAGTATGAAACCAGGGTTAAGAGCTATCGATGGAAAACCATTTGGTCAACTCAACATCCAAGAAAGCCAAACCCTGTCTCAGCACTTTACCTTCTAGGTGGTCATGTGTTCTCTACACTGCTGTATACCTCACCCCACCTTTTCTTTTTTTTAATTGTAATGAAAATATACATGGCAAAACATTCTGCAATCCAACAATTTCTACGTGTATCATTCTGTGGCATTGATAATGTTCTTTTTGTTGTGTAACCATTCTCAATATTGTTTTCTGAATTATTCCGCCACCATTCACATAAACTCAATGTCCCCTAAGCAATGGTGCTTCCTTTCCTCCTTCCTCCCACCCTGTGTTTGATACATAATAATCTTGGGTTTCTATGTATTTTCTTATTTCATATATGTGAGGTCATACAGTATTTGTCCTTTTGTGACTGACTTATTTTGCTCAGCATAATGCCATGTATCAGGACTTCATTTGTCCATATGGCTGAGTAATGTTCCACTGTATGGATAGACCACATTTTGTTCATCCAGCATCTGTAGATGGGCATCTCAGTTGTTTCCACCTTTTGGCTCTTGTGAAAAGTGCTGCAATAACCAGGCTTTTTACTTAACCTGTTCCTTCTGGGAGCCTGCTTCTCAGGGAGATGGGTTCAAATCCTGCCTCTCCTATGTCCTGTCCCTGTGATCTTGGGCAACACTGAACCTCTCTTTAAATCTCAGTCTTTTCCTCTGTAGAATGGGCATAATGGTACCAGTGAGGCTAAGATGAGATGACATCTATTAAGGCAAAGAGTATGCATTCTGCATATGCAGGTCCCCTCCCTCCTCCAGAGCCCCACAGTCCTGTTACTAGTAATTCCATGGGTGAATCAGTTGCTTTCCTGCTTCCCACCACAGAGCATGCTCAGGTTTCACTGAACCATGTTCTGTTTGGGAATCTTTAAACATACAGATCATGTGCTTCCTGTTGTTATCAGCTATTCATCCACTTTTCTTCCTTCCACTGCCATGTCTCTCATTAGGGACGTGATGAGCTTCCACGTCCAATATCCTAATTCCATCATCAACTAATATCAGGAACCACTGCACAGCCATGGTCACATCTCTATGGTGTTTGTGGCAGCCATGAGCTACAAAATTCAGATTCACGAGACAAACATGGGCATCTGGTATAGTGCCTGGCACATATAGGTGCTTAATAAGTGTTTGTAGGTGCCTGGTAAGTGTTTGTACCGGCAGTCTATCTTTAGGAAGCCACATTCCTCTAGCTCCTGGGATTTCTAGTTGGAGCCATGTAGAGGGGCTTGAGTCAACTTGTTAGCCCAAGGACACAGGTTATGCAGAAGGACACATGATTTTCTAAATCCAAAGCCTCCTAAAACGTTATATACCAGTTGCCCGTGTTTTGTGCTGAATTCCTATGCTAACTTAACCCTCATCACCCTCATGACAGAGATCCCCTCTACTCTATATTGTGGTTTGAGTGGCACAGGCCTCCTAAGCATGTTTGGATGTACTCAGATATTACTAGGAGTGGAATATCTGATGATGGGTCCATAGGAGCATTCACATTATGTTTGATGGCCTGCCTCGTATTCTGAGCCTTGCAGTTAGGTGAGAGCTAGTGTCTACTGTTACATTTGATCTTCTTTTGGCATAAAAGAAGAAATCAGCCCTGATGTCTTCTTCTTTTTGAATTGGTCACATGACACTATGCTACACGTTCCTTCAACTTGGGCTCCACATTTCCTCTGCACGCTGCTGGCTCTTTACATAAATAATGGGTGGAAGTTCCCACACAGTCCCTTGATTCTCTCGAGGGTTTATGCGGGACTCCTTTTCATAGCAAATCTCTGCAGTGGATTTGGGATTAAATTTACAGTATGGAAATACAGTTGACAATTTCTGAGTAACCCTTTCTTCCACAAATTGGGAACTTTTGAAATGTCTATTGAGTAAATAAAGGAACTTGTCATTGATAAGAATTAAAGACCAGCTCATCAGGAGTCTCTTGGCATAATGGTTAAGCATTAATGGCTGCTAACTTAAAGATTCAGTGATTCGAACCCACCCAACGGCTCTGTGGGAGAAAGACCTGGTGATCTGCCCCCGTAAAGACTGCAGCCAGGAAAACCCCATAGGGCAGCTCTGCTTTGTGACATGGCATTGCTATGAGTTGAAAACAACAGGACAGTACCCAACAAAAGGAAGGGAGCAGCACCCCTATAACTTCTAGAAGACTCTCGGTGATCCCACTGGGGGATCCTTCCCCGATGCTGGATATGGTTGATGTGTCCTCCTTCTCCATCCTTGTCTCTGCTGTGGAGTCCATGGGCTTTATCTGAGCCACAGAGGGACCTGCCACTCTCTAGTGAGTGGACGGTCAGCGAGGAGAGGAGCAGGCTGAGGGCCTGACCCAGTGGTTTACCAGGCGTCCGGCATCTGGCTGCACAAATGAAATGCAAATCCCATAATAAATGTTCTTTCAAGGGTTCTTTATTAAGGTATAATGTGATCGCGGTGTGAATGATGAAATGCATTCCATTAATGAAATCGTTACCACCCAGGAGAATAGTTGTGTGAAAAATGGTTTGCTGTTAAAAGCTCCACAACCTCTGACAGCCAGGCTCATTTTCTAGAAACTCAATCCAGTGAATTGAGGGAGGCTGGACAACTGTTAGCCTCGACTTCCAAGTTCTACAACAGCTCTGGGATATAAGTTCCTCTTAAAATCCTAAAACTCAAACCCACCAGTCAGTGATGAGTTGGTTCTGACTAATAGCGACTCTCTGTTGTTGTTAGGCGCAGTTGAGTCAGTTCCGACTCATAGTGACCCCACATACAACCAAACGATACACTGCCCCGTTCTGTGCCATCTTTGTAATCATTGCTACATTTGAGCCCATTGTCACAGCCACTGTGCCAAGCTGCCCCATTGAGGGTTTCCTCTAGAGACACAGTAAAATTGCCCCATGGAATTTCCAAGGCTGTAATCTTTATGGAAGCAGACTGCCTCACCTTTCTCCTGTGGAACAGCTAGTGGGTTCGAACCAACAACTTTGAGTTAGCAGTTAGAAGCTAACCCAGGACTCCTTAGACTCCCCTAAATTGCTTTAATGTTCCAAGCATTGGGCAATGTCAGAGGCTCAGCCCTGGCTCACCTGAGCTGCTCGTGTGACTTTGAGGCTGTCACTGAAGCTCTCTGGACCTCACTTTCTTCATAAGGAAGCCACACTCTCCGGTCTTCCGGCACCATTCTAATTTTAAAATTAGAAAATTAAGCAAGTCCACACATTCTAGTTCCAAAGACCTGTAGGCATTAAAAATGTCCCATTCTTGCAGTGCTGGACAAAATGAGGAAGCTCAACTCTTGGGGACAAAGTTGTAACCATCCATTGGGTGCTCCCAAGACCATTGCTCCCTGGGCCTGCCTGCCTTTCTATTCTCTTCTGTTTTATTGTC